TCCTGCTGACTTTCCAGACTCGGGTCAACACCTGATGACCCTCGCTGACCCTCACCCTTGCAGTTTCTCTCTTGAGATGTTGCTGCTTTCCCCCTTACTTAAAGCTGTTGTCTTTCAGATTTCAACCACTGCCTTTGTGTCAAATCTTTATGGGTATGGTGAGAACACTGCTACGTACATGCACATTTGCTTTTGATCTTGCTTGTGTATGCGTGTATGTGCACGTGTGTCCAAGACACAAAATGTGTGACAGTATGCTGTCATTCACGAATAAGCCCTCGAATATTGGGTCTTAAGAAGCTCATGGCTATTTCTTTTTTTTCTTATTTTTTGTATTGTTGAATATTAATGTGAATATTTGACTTTAGATGTTGTTTCTGATGCACGTAAACTCATATTTATAAAACTTAATTTTTTTTTTTTTACATCCAGATTCCACATGGGAGTTTCTCAGACTGATTCTTGACCTCTCAATGAAAGTATTGAAACAGGATGGGAAATATTTTACACAGGTATAGACTTACTTAAGTGTTTTTTTCCCAAAACTCTCAAATTTTATGTTTTGTGCTTCACACAGCCAAAATACTTAAGGAGACATTAACATAAAGACTAATGGTAGCACTATTTAGTTACTTGTAAAATTAAGACTAAATGAAGGTTAAAAGGGAGTGCGTATAGTATATAATGGCTGTATGCTCTGACAACGTAGGGATAGTACAACTATTAAAAATAGTGGTGAGTGGGGGAGACTGGGACAAGTATATGCAAAAATCTTTTGTATATTTTCAGTAATCATGTTGGTGGTGATGGTATTAGTATTGTTATTCTGAGGTTGTTATATTTGTAATGTGGCATAAAGCAATTGAGCAATTATGCAATATGTTAATTCTATCATCCTCAACATTGTCAATATGGAAGGAGGTAGTTGAAGATGTAATAGAGAAGTGGATAAATAAAACCGTATCGTACTGAAAAAAATTCCAAGGACAGACCAGTATAATTGGATTATGTTCTCAAGCAGTAAGTTTGTAAATAGCTGACCTGTCATCTTTAGGGAATTAATGAGTTCTGTTGTGTCCTGTTACCACAGCCTTCTGATTTATTAAACTTTGGCTTTGGCTGTAGTATAAGCCGCTGTCACCAGGTGGAGACACAGACTGTGATTCCACCCCCCACCCCCAAACTCTAGGGCAGGGGTCCCCAACTCCCGGGCCACGGGCCGGTACCGGCCTGTGGCCTGTTAGGATAACCGGGCCGCACAGCAGGAGGGGAGTGGCGAGTGAGCCAGCGAAGCTTCGTCTGCCGCTCCCCATGGCTCGCATTACCGCCTGAACCATCCCCCCACCTTCCGTGGAAAAACTGTCTTCCACCAAACCGGTCCCTGGTGCCAAAAAGGTTGGGGACCGCGGCTCTAGGAAATTCTTAGTGGAAAAGCCCTCAGCATAATTTCATAAACTGCTTTGGCTGTAGTATGAGTTACTGCCACTAGATGGAGACACACACCGTGGTTTTTTTCCCCCTCATCCTCTAGGAGATTCTTAGTGGAAAAGCCGTCTACATAATTTCATAAACTGCTCTGGCTGTAGTATGAGCTGCTGCCACCAGGTGGAAGCAAATTGTATTTTCCTCATTTTCTAGGGGATTCTTAATTTTAAAAGGTTTGAAGTTAGTATTTCTTGATATGTAAAAAATACATATATATATAACCTACTAAAGTCCTTAACTTTTCGAAAATGACAGCAAAAGCAGCTAATTGATGATCCATCTTTTTACTTCGTACAAAAATCCCTTGATTCGTAAGCAGAAGATAAACAGTATTGTACTCTGGTCCCTGTAATTGATTCTTCAGCATTTTCAGGAGAATTCCACCTCCCCCCCAACTTTTTTAAAGCATTGTTATAGTTGAATGTCAAGAACTCCTAGAAAGGTCCTAACTTCATTCTCCCAAGGAGGCTTTTTTTTTTTTTTCAAGATTCACCAAATCTGAATTCTCTTGTTTTCTTCACATTACAATTAAATACTAACATCTCAGTTCTCAAGTGTAATCACAACAGCCATGCTAGGCCACAGTAGCTCCAAGGATGCATTTTTAAGCAGACCCCAGACAGTTTACGGGATCTGAAATTCATAGTGCCGAAAACAGCTTGCAACTTAAGAGACACCTTGAATTAGTTTCCGTCCCGTCCTGTTTTCTTCCTCCTCCCCCTGCACGGGCAATTAATCCTGGACCTTGCACTTGGTGAAAGTGTTGGCAAGCTTCAAGGGAACAGACAACTGTCGACGAATGGACTTTTTTTTAACCCTGATCCTTAAGAATGATTTTTAAAACACATTGTAGAATTGACTTTTTAAAAGCCATGGGAACTCTACAATGAAACCTGCTCAAACCAAGTCGTCTTATTCTTATAAAAACAACCCGAATTCGGTGAGTTGGGTTTTTCATAAATGGATATTTCTCAAGCAGAGCATATATTGATAGAATTTGGTTCTTTTTATGTTCCCACAAATAGAAGTCTCATGGAGCTTAAGTTGGGGAGAATGTGAGGCTCTGACATCTTTAATCAAAAGTGACTGAAAACAATTTGGATCTACTGCAAACCAGTCAGTTTGTAGTAGAGAATAGGTACCGTTAGGAAGAAAGCATGAGTGTTTTCTTTTGTTGTATTTATCTGGTACACTGCTTCCTTGGGGAACTGCTTTCTCAGTATGGACAACTAATAGAAAGGCTTACTTGACAGATCATCCCCACCCATTCCTAAATACTAATGATTCAGGCTTTGATAACCTGGCCTTTGCCAGCCAACTTTTACTAAAAATCACCTTAAATACTCAAGGCTGTGCTGGTTTCTAAGAATTGTCCAAAAGATGTATGAGGACATGCTTCCCACCCCCGCATTCATTATGGTTGGAAACTCAAGGCGATCTCTTATGATACCCAGGAATCCCACGGTATGTTGGGTGGTTGAATGTGTCATATGAACCAAAGGGGTGTAGGCCTTTGAAGAAGCAGGAGTCAAGAGCTACAGTGTGGTTTGACTCAGTATGTACTGATGTCATTTCCACAGCGTAATACTTTCTTCAGCTACCACGTGGTATGCTCAGGAGATACCTTTAATTCACGCCCACCCCCCTTCCCTGAGCCTGTAGCTTAGAAATGAAGTAAGGTTAAAGATGGGACAAAAATGTTGTTTGGCTTGTTAACTTGGTGACTGACAAAAGCTAAATGTTCCGGTGCCTAAAACTGCTTGCATCACAATGGCAAGTTCATGATGTCACTAGTGTCACTGTGGCTGGCTGAAGACAGCCTTGTCTGTGGGCCACAGAGCTGGGGAAGGCGTCCTGGAATGTGTGGGGAGTCATCGATCCACCACTGGCAGGCTAGGGGAATTTGAATCCAGGGAAGAAATGCTTTTGTGGGACTAGGAGGCAGGTTCTCCCCACCCCTCATTATAAAAAAAAAACTGTAGGTTATTTCAAAGTACAAAAATATGTGTGTGATATTCATATTAGTTATGATACAAAGATATTAACTCCTCCGTCCCCCCGCAGTCATGGATGTTACCAGTACGCTTGACTCGTCTGCATTCCTCCCTAATCCCCTCCCGCCTTCTGGCAGTGACCCATTTTTAGTGTGATTTTTTTGTTTCAGTTACTCTTGTGCTTTCTTTATAGATGTTTTACACACGTGTGATCTGCTAAATCATCATATTGGTTTTGCTTGCTTTTGAACTAGATAAAAATGGTGTCATTAAGGAGGTATTCTTCCAGACTTTTTTTTGTAGTTGCGGCATGTGGGATCTTTTCAGTTGCGGCATGCGAAGTCTTAGTTGCGGCATGCATGTGGGATCGAGTTCCCTGACCAGGGATCGAACCCGGGCACCCTGCTTTGGGAGCGCGGAGTCTTAGCCACTGGACCACCAGGGAAGTCCAGACCTTTTTATATTACAGAAATCACACAAGCTGTGTAAAAGATACAAACAGAACTAAAATGTATAAAGTAATAAAGCAAGTGTCACCCACAGCTAACATGAGGCAAGGAGAAACTTCTTAATTCTTTGCTATTAGATTCTTATTATGCATCCTCCATGTGTCGTAAGAAAAGAACAGTGTAGTTCCATTTAAATACATAGAAAAGTGAAATGTATCACATTACTTTTTTGGGGTAGGTATCTGTGGGTTTTTTTTTTTCTTTTTTAAACTGCTTTTTGACAATTTTGGGGAAGCATAAATTGAAACTATCCTATTTCTTTAGCACATTCTTCGTAAGGAGGACTTCCCATATACCCTCTGTAAAGAGAGAGCGTGGTGTCATTTTTAAGATGGCAAGGAAAACCTTGAACTGTGAACCTTGGTAGCATTTCCATTCTATAGCTTCCCCGGTAGTGAGGTGTTCTAAAAACAACTGGGCAATGTTTTCTATTTGTGAATCTTAAATTACACATGTGGTGTTTATGTACTCTCATGGTGAACTTGATGTTGAAACCAAATTATATGCTGGCCAAGGGCACTTTGGCCAGTTCCCACTGCAGGACCCTAGATGATGGGTTACTAAACAGGCTGGCACTGAAAGATGACGATGTGCTGCGCGAATGTGCTACGTTAAAACCGCCCAGGCCAGCCCTTGGAATAGATCTGTCTACCCACTTGCCCGTGACTGACTGGTTCTTTGGTTTTGAAAGCCATCCTCAGGAACGCTTATATCACAGGCTGCTTTATTTGTGAATAATTTTCATCTTACATCAAAGTTCTTATAAAGGAATGTGATCAGCACATATATTCAGTTGTCTTCCGAATGTTAAGAACTTCAGAGGTTGGGACTTCCCTGGCAGCACAGTGGTTAAAACTCCACGCTCCCAATGCAGGGGGCCCGGGTTTGATCCTTGGTCAGGGAACTAGATCCCACATGCATGCCGCAACTAAGAGTTTGCATGCCGCAACTAAGGAGCCTTGAGCTGCAACTAAGGAGCCAGCAAACCGCAACTAAGGAGCCCTCAAGCCGCAACTAAGGAGCCCACCAGCCACAACTGAGGAGTACATGTGCTGCAACTAAGGTGCTGGTGAGCTGCAACTAAGGAGCCTGCTGGCCACAACTAAGGAGTACATGTGCCACAACTAAGGAGCACATCTGCCGCAACCAAGACCTGTGCAACCAAATAAAATAAATAAATATATATATATAAAGAATTTTAGAGGCTAAGAGGAAATAGTTGGTATTAAATATCCATCTTGTTTTCTAAATCCATTATGAAAAGCCCTTGGGGGAAAATTGTGCTCAAATGATAAACACTACCCCAGATCTACTGAATGAAAATCTGCATTTTAATAAGGCCCCCTATGATTCATACATACATTAAAGATTGAGAATCACTGCTCTAGAATTACGCAGGTACTGTATGCATTCAGCAGCTCTCTGATTCTCTGATTCTCTTCACCTTTTTTTTTTTTTAATGGTCCTAGAGTGGCTGCTGCAGCTCCACATATCCCATCTAAGTTGGAGGCTGGAAGAAAGTTGAAGGAGCCGGGTCACTGTATTTATCCTTGATTGTCCAGAATCAAATATCAGTTATATGTGGAATCTAAAAATTAATACAGGGATTCCCTGGTGGCGCAGTGGTTGAGAGTCCGCCTGCCAATGCAGGGGACACGGGTTCGTGCCCCCATCTGGGAGGATCCCACATGCCACGGAGCGGCTGGGCCCATGAGCCATGGCCACTGAGCCTGCGCGTCTGGAGCCTGTGCTCCGCAATGGGAGAGGCCGCAACAGTGAGAGGCCTGCGTACCACAAAAAACAAAAAAACAAAAAAAACATACAAATGAATCTATATACAAAACAGAAACAGACTCACAGACATAGAAAACAAACTTATAGTTACCAAAGGGGAAAAGGGAGGAGGAGGGATAAATTAGGAGTTTGGGATTAATAGATACAAACTACTATATATAAAATAGATAAACAAGGACCTACTGTATAGCAGAGGGAACTATGTGCAATATCTTGTAATAACCTATAATGGAAAATAACCTGAAAAGATATATATATATATATATATAATATATAATAATATATATAGTATATATAACTGAATCACTTTGCTGTACAGCTGAAACTAACACAATATTGTAAATCAGCTATACTTCAACAATTTAAAAAAAGAACACATTTCAAAAAATAAATCTTTCCCAGCAGACTTCCACTATATTTCATTGAGCACTCCTACCTGCTGGGGGAGACAGAAAAGGGGTGGCAAAAAAGGGAGAAAAATTAGAACAACGAAGTCAAGAGAAAATGTTTGATAAAGAGTAGAACTGGGGAATATCCTTAGTGTATACGTCCTGAATAGACTTTTGTTCTCTTATTGAAAGAAAGAAAATAAACCACAGATTTTGGGGGAAAGCACAGAGGTGTGAATATAGTTCTGTGTCAACATCTTAGACTCTTGAGAGGATTGTAGTTTCTGGAAACCAAAATCATTATCTTTCTGATACTTCATTCTCAACACAGTGGGGACTATTTTGAATGGGTTAATGTGTATGAATCTTTGCTAATCGCATGGTGTTGATACAATGACTGTGTCACTAATGAGAAATTGGTCTCACTGGTTTCTGTTGCTTCATACTCGAATAATTTGAAATGGCTTGGTAAATGAGGTAGAAGGATAATGAATGAGCTAATGGATCTATAAATAGAACTCAGTGCAATTTGCAAAAGTACAGAAACCTTATCTCATTTTCAGAGCTGAACTTTTAGCTAAAGCTAGAATTGCTCATTTATTAGAGACCTTCAAATGAGTGGGACTTCAGTAGGACTTAAGAATCCTATTGTTTGCTTTTCTCTCTTTGATTTAGGGGAACTGTGTCAATTTGACTGAAGCCCTGTCACTCTATGAAGAACAGCTGGGGCACCTGTATTGTCCTGTGGAATTCTCGAAGGAGATTGTCTGTGTCCCTTCATACTTGGAATTGTATCCTTTGACCACATCATTGTGTTGCCACATCAGAACCTCCATGTAAATATCATGCCTGTTTAACATTTTAAAGAAACAGAATTAGTTGTATAGTACATGTAAAGCCCTGGGTCCCCCACCCCCGCCCCTCAGATGCTGGGGTGTGGCCTGACACAGCTTCTCAGGTGGTTTTTATGGTCTGGCACCACTGGTTCTCACAGGCAGTCCCCAGACCTGTGGCATCCCCTGGGAACTAGTTTCTCGAGCCCTGCCCCAGCCTGCTGCCCAGTCAGAAACACTGGAGGGTGGGGCCCGGTGACCTGTCTTGACCAGCCTGCCAGGAGATTGATGTGCACTTTAAAGCTTCAGAAGCCTCAGTCTAGACACCCTCCCAGCTGGAGCAGGCTGACTGAAGAAGCTCATTGTCGTTTTTTGTTAAAATTACCCTCTGCTTTAATATTAGTTTCTACGCTTCACTTGATTCTGATTTGCAGTAGAGAGAGAGCTGACAATAATGGTGGGCATCACAAAGTTACTGTTGATGTTCTCCATTAGTTCCACTTAGTAAAGTTAGTCCAGGGAAATAAGAAAATAACCCAGAGAAAAGCCAAATGAAAGCATTGTCACTGGAAATTTATAGTGCATTTCTTCCTCCTAAAAACCGGACTGTGGTCTGTAGACCAAAGCTACCATACCGGAGGTGGCAGGGTCTAGCTTCCTGTGAGAGCAGGTTTCGTGGTGCCTGCTAGCCTGAGCTCTGTGACCATGACAGCCTCCCAGGGAGGAGGGGCCACCAGGTTCCTCCTGGCCTGTGGAGAGCTTTGACACCTCTCCCTGGCGAACAGGCGAGCCCCTTCATCAGGGTTCCTCTCCAGAGCATTTGTTATCGCCAGCTCTTCTTTATACATTGAAAGACTTTAGAAAGCAGTTGATGACACCTGGAGAAAAGGCTTTCGCCCTCTGGCTCCCCTCTGGTTCCTCTTTCCTCTCCATCCTTCCACCTTTCTCCCCCTTCTCTTCCTAGCTCCCTCTCCTTCCACCTCCCTCCTTTCTCTCTTCCTCCCATCCCCCCACCCCGCTTCTCACCTCCCTCTTCTCTTTGTCTGTCCTCTCTTGTTAATTCCCCAAAACATTTTAGAGTCCTTGGAAGCAGAAGTGTTACCTGAGAGGATATTTGTGTCCCTTTAATCTTTTCTTTGCTCACCTGCCGCCCTCCCTCCCCACCCAGCGACTTCACAGGTGGTGGGCATCCTGGCTGCAAAGTGCCCTTGTTTAAGAGGCCTTCATTCTCATTACCACAGTGCTGTAAGCTCTGAAGCTTTCATCCATCTTCCAGTTTGTAGGCCAGTAAACAAATTTGAAGTGATGCCTGTTTTTCCTTGAATTACCTGTTCTTATTCCTTGACTCCTTGTGCAGGTGGGTATTTTACACTGTTTGGAAGAAAGCTAAACCTTGAAAATCAATTTCCCCTAATCGTGTGTGCTGCAAATAGCCTTCCTGACCTTCATATGCTGTACATGACATCGAAAGGAGTCAGGCAATTAATTGTGAATTCCTTCAAGTTTCCTTTTTTTAATTATTTTTTAATTTAAAAATCAAATGGAAAATGTATATTTTGATGAACTAGGGTGTTATTTTTTTGAAGGATGATTAGACAGCACAGTGAAGGCTGCTAAATGCACTGAACCTCTAGAATGTGATTTTTGTTTTTGTTTTTGTTTTTCTGTGTGGGCTTCTTTTGTTTCTGTTTTGGTAGACTTCGAGTTTGATTGTTTGGAGGAATGAACATCATTGTTTTCTTCTGGAGGGAAGCTCTTGACGGGAGTTTCTTTTCCCCCCAAATTGACATACGTATTAAAATTGGGTGCTTATAAGGAAAGACTTTAAAAAATGAATAGCAATGCTTTGATTAAAATTACAAATGAGAAATTTCATGTGTCTGTTGTTTTATTTCAGCCAGGTCTTCTCTTTCTCGCTTCTGATCTCACAGAACAAAGATGTCTCCTTGGTCTTTTTTTAGTTCTGTTATATCACTCGGTGCCATTTATCTCTTCCTAAGAGGATGGCCTTAGGGCCTTTTTTTAACAGCAGTAATGACTTCATTTACCGCCGTGGTAAATGACACACAACCTATTACATTCAGCAGTTCTTCATTATAAAATTGACCTAAGGATAGGAGAAGATTTGGCCTTACTGTAAAGTTGAAAGGCAGAAGCTTCTTTCTCTTCCAACTCTTATTGGTGTATTAGATATGAAAATAAAGACCATTTTGGAATGCTGCTGTGAAGTTTTCTGAGTTTTTTGATGCATAGATAGATGACAGTTGTGGAGAGGCCCACAGCCGCAAGAGCAGCTTACACTCACCTAAGGAAGTGCGTGTAACAGCTTGGTAGTGTACTTGTGGGTCACAGTCCACATCAAAGGGGAGGTTATATTGACCTGGATTGTTGGACATCACTGGGTTATCCTGTTTCGCTTTTTTTTTTTTTCAAACTTCTATTTTTCTTATTTTTAAAATTTATTTTTGGCTGTGTTGGCTCTCTGTTGCTGCCTGCGGGCTTTCTCTAGTTGCGGCAAGCGGGGGTACTCTTCGTTGCGGCACACGGGCTTCTCATTGCAGTGGCTTCTGTTGTTGCGGAGCACGGCCTCTAGGCGTGCGGGCTTCAGTAGTTGTGGCACACGGGCTCGGTAGTTGTGGCACGCGGGCCCTAGAGTGTGTGGGCTTCAGTAGTGCGGCGTGTGGGCTCAGTAGTTTTGGTGCGTGGGCTCTAGGGCACACGGGCTTCAGTAGTTGTGGCTCGCGGGCTCTAGGGCACAGGCTCAGAAGTTGTGGTGCACGGCCTTAGTTACTCCGCGGCATGTGGGATCTTCCTGGACCAGGGATCGAACCCGTGTCCCCTGCATTGGCAGGTGGATTCTTAACCACTGCACCACCAGGGAAGTCCCCCCGTTTTTTTTTTTTTTTTTGGCGGTACGCGAGCCTCTCAGTGTTGTGGCCTCTCCCATTGTGGAGCACAGGCTCTGGACGCACAGGCCCAGGGGCCATGGTTCACAGGCCCAGCCGCTCCGTGGCATGTGGTATCTTCCCGGACCGGGGCATGAACCCGTGTCCCCTGCATCGGCAGGTGGACTGTCAACCACTGTGCCACCAGGGAAGCGCCCCCCTGTTGTTTTTTTAAAAGGTTTTATGCTTTATCAATGGAGTGAGTTCATTTACAATGAATTTGCAGTAGGCAAAGCATTAAAAATGAAATATCCAGTGTGTGTTTTGAGACAGAATAAGTGTCAACCGAGAACTTTCTTTCTCCTGAGATCGGTTCATGGTATGAAACAGATATTCTTTAAAAATGAACATATGTCCACTTTTTCTTTTTTGTTCGATTGGCATGGGGGAAAAATAATAAAGGAGTTAGACTCACGTGGGAACTAGATTGGCTTTCAGCAAATAATTTTCTTGTGATAGAGGTTAAAAACAGCATCGGTAGATAGATACTAAGAATCCTACTCAAGCCCCGCCCTCCAACTCTATGCTTTCAAAGTCTGTGTGTACTGTGTAAGATTAAAAATGATGATACTACTACTGTTAGAACACAGTTTGGCGTAAATAGAATTAGAGGGTTTTCTTTTTTAAATTAATTTTTATTTATGGCTACGTTGGGTCTTTGTTGCTGCGCATGGGCTTTCTTGAGTTGCGGCGAGCAGGGGCTACTCTTCGTTGCGGTGCACGGGCTTCTCATTGCGGTGGCTTCTGTTGTAGAGCACGGGCTCTAGGCACACAGGCTTCAGTAGTTGTGGCTCGCGGTCTCTAGAGCACAGGCTTAGTTGCTCCGAGGCATGTGGAATCTTCCCCGACCAGGGATTGAACACGTGTCGCCTGCATTGGCAGGCGGATTCTTTACCTCTGCACCACGAGGGAAGTCCCAGGGTTTTCTTTTTTTTTTTCCATTTTAGAAAAGAAACCAAGTGTATCTGCTGTCTAGCTATGGTATTGTTAGTATGTGGCATAACTTTATACTTGAAGACTAGCTTGAGGCTGAGGCTAAATCTGCTGATGAATTTCATGACACAGGTGGGTCCTGCCAAGAGCTGAGAGTTAGGAATGAGATGGATCAGGTTGGGCCAGGCCATGGAAGACACATTCGGGAGAGACTAAGGGATGTGGTATGGGAGGAAGAAGGGAATGGAAAGAAATTTTTTATTCTGGGTGATAATGGTGAACTCCGAGCACAATCATTCCTTTCTAGTAGAGAAAGGATGCCTGATTTTTTGGAACATCTTTGTAACTGTTAAAAGAAAAGCGTGCAAACTGAACTCGATAACTAAAAACAACCTCTACTTTTCCTGCATTTTAAGGAAATGTTACAAGATCCAAGCACTGTTACATTACTTTAATGGGTGTAGTGTTATTTACTGTTGTAGCCTCCTTTATATTCTAAAATAGAATATACTGTAATATATAGTTGCTTTTGAATTAAAGACAAGACAAATGTGGCTGTAGTTTAAATTCTAGTCAACACATCAACAGATGTCAAGAACTCGTTTATTAAAAAAAGTAATGCTGCCCTCTCCTGAAAATGTGATTGGATATTTTCAAAATTTGATTAATGGTGATCCACCTGGGCTGGAGGAAGGCTGGGTTGACAGTGTTGCTACTAAGCAAAGGGAAAATGTGCCGCTCCTTCCCGTGCAATTGACTAGACACCTTCTTGCTTAACTACTGCTGACATAAGAGTTTACATTTGTCTCAGGAGATGGATCAGTTTCATTCTGTTCCCATGACTTGTGGGATAGGGTGGAGGGTGAAGGGGGTGGGGGTGTGTGTGGGGGGGTGGGGGTGAGTGAAGGCTGTGTGTGTGATGTATCGTTGGCCTGTACCCAAGACTCTAGAGCAGGTATTATTCAAAGTGTGGTGCTTCAACCAGCTCTTTGTGTTCTAAGCACATTGTTTTGTTTGCTTCAGCTGAAGTTTTTTGTTCCCAGCAAGACTTAGTCAGTGAACGAAGCATTATGTTGGTCTCCACCGCAGGGCACGCTCCTTACCCAGTCTTGGAACAGCACTGTGAGTAGCACTGTTCTCGAGGCCAGCTTGGCAGCATTATTTGATTTGAGCTGCTACGTGGCCTTGAAATAACACTTAACAACCTTCTGTATCACCCTGTTGCTGAGTGTCTTTGTACCACATAATCTTTTACGGTGCTGTGCTTTGGGTTAATACACAACTTTCCTTTACATTCTCTTGCTTTATTTATTTATTTGGCTGCGTTGGGTCTTCATTTCTGCATGAGGGCTTTCTCTGGTTGCGGCAAGCTGGGGCCACTCTTCATCGCGGTGCGCGGGCCTCTCACTGTCGCGACCTCGCCTGTTGCGGATCACTGGCTCCAGACGCGCAGGCTCAGCAGTTGTGGCTCACGGGCCCAGTTGCTCCGCGGCATGTGGGATCTTTCCGGACCAGGGCTCGAACCCGTGTCCCCTGCATCGGCAGGCAGATTCTCAACCACTGCGCCACCAGGGAAGCCCTCTCTTGCTTTTAAAATACCTTTGTGGGGGCTTCCCTGGTGGCGCAGTGGTTGAGAGTCTGCCTGCCGATGCAGGGGACACGGGTTCGAGCCCTGGTCCGGGAAGATCCCACATGCCGCTGAGCGGCTGGGCCCGTGAGCCATGGCTGCTGAGCCTGCGCGTCCGGAGCCTGTGCTCTGCAACGGGAGAGGCCACAGCAGTGAGAGGCCCGCATACCGCAAAAACAAAAAAAAAAATAGCTTTGTGAATTATGATTATCACTGAGTAGGCCAACAGTCAAAATTTGGAATATGCCCAAGCGTCCTGTGGCTAGTAGCAGTCTGAATTTAGGTTCCAGCCTTCTGAATTTGCTGTCGGAAAGCTCACATCAGGGGTCCTTTCTCAACCTTTTGGTACCGTGAACTCTGGCTACCTGGTGAAACCTGTGAGCCCCTCCTCAGAAGCATGTTTTCTAATACATAAAGTAGATATGATTACAAGGAGACAGGTTACACTGTTTTTCAAAGACGTCTGATTTAATATTTGTGCTTTAATAACTTGTTACATAGCTGGATCTAGTTGTGGGTCAAATATTGTAATTTTGAAGCATAATGAGCATAAGTAGGAGATCTGCAGCAACTGAAAGGTGCTAAGAACGCATCTGACTTCTGTTGTTGACAAAGTCATAGGTACTGTCCATGCTAACATGGATTGTGACCTGTGCTCATGCTTAAAGGACATGCTAGATTTCAGTTAGAGGTTAGTGAAAATAAAGATAGAAAGGTTTTCCCATCCAAGTTCAGAGCCACAAAGAATTCTGTCCATAGATGCCAGGTTAAGGACCCCTGACCCACAGTTTTTGCTTCCATTGTTTCATTGTATTTAGGTGGTGGGGAAGGGTAGCTGGGTCCCTTCACCCTGCTGTCACAATGTCACATCAGTACTGGCAGATCAGTTCTCCTCGGCCAGAACCATTTAAAATCTCAATTACCTAGTGCGGTCATTCCACTGATTTCTGCTTTACTCATTATTTCAAAAATGAGCAGTAGAACATGGGAAGAAACAGCCCAGTGCTTTTGGAAGGCTATTTGAATACTCTTGGATGTGATTTCCCTGGGAAGTCAGATGATAAATGTGACTGGACAGGTATGCTTATCTCCTGTATCTAGGGGTCCCAGCGACGGTTCATTAACGCAGACCACATCTCGGGGCAATGACCAGTCAAATGGTGGTCATTTCAATGAGTGATTCCTTTCAGATGAATGGGTCCCTCTTTGGGCAACTTTGCAGGGAACGTAACAGAATAAATGAGTCAGGGGTTCTCCCGGGTAAAGTAAGCTTAACAAGCCAGATCTGTTTTGATAGCCCTCCAATATCCAGAGAGAGGACTGGGGGGGGTTGCCCCACCGCATAGGGCCTAGAGATGGAGGCCC